GAACAAAGCTATCCCAGTCTAGTCAGGTTCTGCTGGCTGCCAGATAATGGTAGCTCTTATCGGAGTGTGCTCTGTGCCAAGCCTGTGAAAGAGGGACTATTATTATCCCCATTTTACAGGGAAGAAACTGAGTCACAGAGAGATTGATTCATTTGCCCAAGGTCCCAGAGTCAGTGTGTGCCTCAGCTAGGATTTTAACAGCTGCTTTTCTGCTTCGTGGTTGGAAGGGTAGCTGATCACAGAATGTGCTGTTTTATTACTCTCTGTTCCAGACACAGCTGTGGCGTTGGAGATATAAGGACTCTATGCTGTGTGTCCTTGGGCAAATACTTTAACCTCTCTGGGCCTTAGTTTCTTTATCTGTAAAATATGTGCTTAGTTGCATGTTGGTGTGGGCCAACTGTCTCTTTGGCAAACAGGGAGATTAGCTTGTGTCAGAGGGTGTGAAGGCCACACTCACTCTAAAGGAGAGTTGCTCACTGATATCATCCGAAGGCATAGAAGGGAATCAAAAGACGACAATTTGCTCACTGAGTAATTCAGTGTCGTCTATTCCTTAATTCGCCCTGGGTGTCTATTCTCTAAGGTCCACCTGAATGAAAACAGTTCTATTCTGATTCCCTGGCTTTGTACCTAAGCCCTTATCTCCCTCATTTTCAATGGCTGAATATCACCTTTTACTATAGTTATTTTTCTTAAACTAAATTTTAGAAGAAAGGTGCAAAATAGGATTTTTTTTCACAGAGGTTGCTCCCTTCCATTAGGAACACAAAGGGAGTCTGAGATTAGCTGCAAATCAGCTAAGTCCCCATAATGTCACAAGAATGACTTGGAGTGTCTTTTAATAGCAGCTAACAAAACCTGGAGGGCCAGTGTGTCTCCTGGGCAATCGTCATTCACATGACTCACATCTCTGTCTTTCATCCTGGGTTCCTGGGGGAGTCAGGGTGGTTGGTGGCTGGTGACAGCAGGTAGGAGGGGAGGGAGAGGAGTGGGAAGCAGGCAGGGCTGGCAACTGTCACCTTGGGGCCATCTCTGGAGGAGTGGGGCACTGAGTTGAACTGCAAGGCTGACTCAGAGTGGGCAGGGCCAGGGTCACGAAGAGTTGATCCGAACATTGATGCAAAGCGCTTCCCTGATGTGTGATAAAGGACCCCTGTAAGTGTGACACAGTCCCTATTTTCTGAGAGGCAGTGTCGAATATAGCTGGCTGGCAGGTGCAATGGTCTGGAACTTTCTGCCAGAAGCACAAGTCATTCACATGCCGGAGCCCCGGCACCCTGGGTGGCTTCTCCCAGCACCTGAGGAAGGGCGTCAGGTGGTTGCAGGATGAATTCTCAGTACAGGGGCTGCGGGCTGGCCTGTTCTGACTTTTACCACAATAGTCATACCAAGAACAGTCATGGGGCCCACGCTGTGGATTGGGCACTGCGCTAAGTACTCGGCATGCATGATCACTTTTAATCTTCTCAACAACTCCACGGCGTCGATTCTATGATTATCTCTATGCTATAGATGAGAAAACCAAGACTTGGAGCAGTGAAGTCACTACCGTGTTTTCCCCAAAATAAGACCTAACTGGAAAATAAGGCCTAGCGTGATTTTGCAGGATGCTCATAATATAAGCCCTACCCCAAACATAAGCCCCAGTTAAGATCGTCAGCTAGACATGACTGCTTGAAACAAATGTAGATTTTTGTACATGAATAAATGAATAAATGTAGATTGTTGGAGCAAAAATTAATATAAGACCTGGTCTTATTTTCGGGGAAACATGGTATTAAGTGGTGAAGTCACGATTTGAAGACAGACAGTCTGGCTTCAGCGCCAAAGCTTTTAAGCCCTTTGATGGGCACATGGGAAGGGCTTATTGGACTATTCTGTGCAGCTCACAGGCTGGGAGGGAGAGGAAGGCCAGGCGGGGCAGGAGCCAAGGCAGACCTGCGGCTCTTTAGGCCACCGCTATTGGGTGACAGCTCTGACCATTCTTCAGCAGGGTGATGTATCAACAGCTGCTTCTCTCCTCTGAGGTTGGAGGGCAGCTGATCACAGAACGTGCTGTTTAATTACTCTCTGCTCTAGACACAGCTCTGGAGTTGGGGGTATAAGGAACCTGTGCTGTGTGCCCTTGGGTAAATAATTTAATCTCTCTGGGCCTTAGTTTCCTTATCTGTAAAATAGGGGCAAATATAGGGATATTATGGGGATTAAATGAATCAATTTTAGCCAAGTGTTTACAATAGTTCTGGACACTGAGCAAACACCATAGAGGGACTGTCACTAGAGGAGGGGCAGCTGGTGAGACCCTCACAGCTACGCACCCTAAACATTCTTGCAGGGTCCCATCTCTCCCCTGAGACTATGCTGTCAGCTCACCCTGAGGAATGTGACCACTTCGCATGGTCCTCTGGTGAACCTTTAGTCAAAGTGTATCACCCAGACCAGCTGCAGTATCCCCCACGAGCTTGTTTGAAATGCAGAATCTCAGGCTCCAAACTAGACCTACCCAACCAGACTCTGTACTCCCAAGATTCCCAAGTGATTTGCAGAGACAGCCAAGTTTGAGAAGCACAGCTTTAGAGCTGTTAAAAGCAAATTTAAAAAGCCCGAGAATCTCCTTCCCTTTGTGGGAGATTCAGTCCACAACAGGTACTTTAGTTTCCTAAGCTCAAAACTTCAGGATAATAATAGCTCACATGTCGGTGGCACTTTACAATTTGACTAAAGGGTCTTCACACCCAGTTTTTCTTGCTCTGTAGTACAACCTTGTGAGAGACACAGAACAACCAATGTTAACTCCATTTTCGAGATGTGAAAACTGAGGCTCATAGTCTTAAGCGATTTTCCAGAGTTACCCAAATGTCAGAGTCCAGGTCTTCTGACATCTGAATTCAAGGCTCATTGCAGTTTTCACACTGTTCATCCATGATGAGAGAGAACCAATGCTGATTCTTTCTCCTTCTCGGCTACCGAGACATGGCCTGTCACCAAGTCCTATGACTTTGTTCCATGAGGATGACTTGGATTCAACCTATTGTCATAATTTCCCTGGTTCCAGCCTCGGCTAAGACCATGTGATAATAACAACAGTATTAGTTATTGCACATTGAGACTTATTCTGCTAAGATCTTCCCTTGTATTACTTAACTCATCTAATCCTCTCAGCCACCCTATGGGATAGGTACCATTATTATCACAGATGATGAAACTGGGGCTCCAAGTGAAAAAGTCGCCCAAGATCAAATGAGAGCAAGTAGTGGAGCAGGGATTTGAATGTGACCTGCTGGTCATCCCTCAATTTCTGCCCTAGTTTCTGAGGCCGTCTGTCCACCATGGTGTGCTCTCCAAGCCTTCGTAGCGTGGGCCCGTCCTCTCTCCACTTCGTCTGCCTTCCCCAGGAAGCCTTTTCTTGAACAGCGCATTCCAGCGAAGCTGTCTTCATTATGCATTTCACAGCGATCAGCAATAGCCATCATACTTGATTGTATAATAAGTCACTCATTTAATTTCTTGTCGTCCTCATGAGAGAATGAGCTCCACGGAGGCAGAGGCCATGTCTTCTTGGTCACAGATGTTGTCCCGCAGTGACCAGCCCAGTGTAGGTGCTCAGTAAATGTTTACTGAATGAATGCCGCTCATTGCACGAGTTCGGTGTCTTCACCTAGGCTGGAATCCTATAAGGAGAGTATCCGACACCACTTTTGTATCCCCACGGCACATAAAATGTTCTGGAATCGTGTAGATCATTACTATTTATTAATAGAAAGCCACGTGTCCTCTTGGAGCTCAGGGAGCATTCATTGAGGGCTGACACAGCCGTTGGTGTTTAGTCCGCTGGGGCTCTTATCTCTGTCTAGGACAAGGTGAGGTGAGG